GGTATTGCGAGGGAACACAAAGGTATTGCGAGGGAACACAAAGGTATTGCGAGGGAACACAAAAGGAAAAAAAAATCCCCCCGTGTCCCCTCGCGGACTCCGTACCAAACAACACAACTGGTTTAAACCTTCAATTTTTATATCACCAAACTTTAAAACTGTACTCTCTAAATCTGTACTCTCTGTCTCTCAATTCGTACACCATTACATGCAAAAAAATCAAAAAACCTCAGTCATTTTGTAATGCATCCTGGGATAGAGTGGGCAGTGAAGGACACAACAGATCAATCACTCAAATCAGGGATAAATGACACACGTGACTCACAACTAGAGGAGTCTTTAAATTTGGACAGTCTTGGGTGAATCGCAGTGACGTCATCGGCCTTCGGAAAAAAAAAACAGCCCCTGAATTTGGACACAGCTGACATCTCAAATAATAAATAAAAAGAACTTTCAGAGGTTGATTTATTGGACAAATGTTCAAAAGCAAAAAGGCAAACAAAGCTTTAAATTACCAAGTTCCTCTTGGTAAAACTGAACTCAACAACAAATGACTCTTGAGGAACTGTCCCAGTAACAGAGGAAGAACCTCTGCTGAAGCTGGTGGGAAAAATTAGGCAGTAATATGCAATGCTACGGTTTCTGTCATTTTAGCTGTTCTGGCCTATGCTTTATGTTTCACTATAAATGACTGAAGTCTTTACCTGATCTCTTTGTGATGTTTTAACACTACAGTGAAAAGTTGTCCATTTCTTTCAGCTTCACCACGATTTTACAGTCAACAGTCTCACAATAAACTAAATACAGTACAACAACCCCGTACGGTTTTTATACGTTTTCAGTTTTATTATTGAGCATGCCGAGTCGGAGCCATCGTTCAGCTTTTTATAGGAAAGTAAAACATGAAAATGAACTAATTGGCAGTGGTTTTCAGTAACATGCTGGTGGAAATGTGTTTTTCTGAAACAGACAATGTTGAAACAGCCAAAGGAAAGGGTCACAAATATATTTTAAAAAAATACTCTTGAGAAAACTTTCTGCACTTTCACTACTTTTCACTATTCAAGATTTCAGGCTGATACCAAACAATGATTGCTTAAATAAATAAAAAGGTTGTGCATGTTGCAAAGAAAACAACAAAAATGGCTTAAAAGACAAAAAACAAATGATCTCTAAAGAAACCTGAGAAAACCTCCAATCTGAAGCTTTGTTAGGTCACTGAAGAACATGATCTGGATCCATACAATCAATTAGAACGAGACAACTGAATGATGATGCCTGATGAACGATTCTTGTTGAATTGATAAAAAAAAAATCTAAAACTGAAAAAAAGTAGCTGAAATAATGTCCTGATGCATCTCAGTAATCCAGGTAAAAAATCAAAGAGAAAAAAATTGTGTAGGTCTTCTGGACGGGTTCTTCTC